CCGCTCCCTGCGGCCCGGGGAGCCGGCCCGGGGGGACTCGGGGTCTGGGGCGGCGGCGGGCTGGCTGGTTTCGGGTGCGGGGTCGCGGCCCGGGCGCGTGTGCAGCTCCCGCCGTTCGTGAGGGAGGCGCGGCTGCTCCGTGCGGGCCCGGGGCTCCGGGGGCAGCGCAGGTGTCCCCCGCGCCGCTCGCAGTCCGCGTTCTCTCCGCGTTGCCCCGTTTCCCTTCGTCCCGCGGCCCTGTGCCCCTTTCCGTGCCCTGACCTCCCGGTGCGGGCTCCGCTCCCGGCGGCTCCCGGGGGCGGCGGCAGCTCTGCCCTCAGCTCCCCCCGCGCTTTGCTCCGCAGGCACGCCGGGAGTCGGCAAAACCACGCTGGGGAAGGAGCTGGCGTCCAGAGCGGGGCTGAGCTACGTCAACGTGGGGGACCTGGCCAAGGAAGGTGCCGTGCCAGCGCAGCCCAGCACGGCACGGCTGCGGGCTCGGGGCAGCACGGGGCTCCGGGGCGGCTCAGAGCCGGCCGGGGCTGCAGGGGACTGGGACAGCACCCAGGGAATGGCGCCAGGGCCAGAGGGCAGCAATGGATGGGATCTTGGCAATGGCAATTGTTCCCTGGCAGGGTGGGCAGGGCTGGCACAGGGTGCCCAGAGCAGCTGGGGCTGCCCCTGCATCCCTGGCAGTGCCCAAGGCCAGGCTGGACACTGGGGCTGGAGCAGCCTGGCACAGGGGAAGGTGTCCCTGACATGGCAGGGTGGGCTCTGAGTCCCTGCAGCCCAACCCAGCCCGTGGCTCTGTGCATCACATGGATTTATCTGTGTCTGCAGCACCATACCCTGTGCTGCAATAAATACCAAACCCGTCCTGGCATGGATTGGTACACAAGGTGTGCCCTGCCCTGAGCTCTGCCTTTTGCTGCAGTTCCCCAGGACAGAGGCAGAAATGTAAATGAGTGGTGGTAAATGAGTGGTGGTAAATGAGTGGTGGTAAATTAATTAATGGCGATAACGAGTGTGGCAGCCAGCAAACACGGGGAACCCTCTGTGCTGCAGGAGAGCTGTACGAAGGCTTTGATGAGGAGTACAACTGCCCCATCCTGGACGAGGACAGGGTGAGTGCCCCTCTGTGTGTGTGTGTGCAGGGGAGGCTGAGCTGTCTGTCTGTCTGTCTGTGCAGGTGAGCCCCTGTGTCTGTGTGTGTGCAGGTGTGTGCAGGTGTGCCCTGTGTGTGTGTGCAGGGGAGGCTGAGCTGTCTGTCTGTCTGTCTGTGCGGGTGAGCCCCTGTGTCTGTGTGTGTCTGTGTGTCTGTGTGTGTGTGTGTGTGTGTGCAGGTGAGCCCCTGTGTCTCTCTTGTGTTCTCTCTGCAGTGCAGGTGACGCTGCTGTGTCTGTCTGTCTGTCCGTGTGTCCGTGTGCGCAGGTGGTGGACGAGCTGGAGCCGAGGATGGGCCAGGGCGGGGTGGTAGTGGATTACCACGGCTGCGATTTCTTCCCCGAGCGCTGGTTCCACGTCGTGTTCGTGCTGCACACCGACAACTCCTGCCTGTACGAGCGGCTGCAGCGCAGGTGGGGCACCCGCCTGCCCCCGGCAGGCTGCTGGGGCAGCCGCAGCTGGGCCCCACTGCTGGGCCACTGCTGGGCCCCTCGGGCTCGGGCACTGCCTCAGCCTGGCTCCGTCTGCCTACGAGGCTAGCTTGTTACTTCATTACTTAATATTACATTTATCATATCATAATATATCATATTGTGCACCCGCCTGCCCCCGGCAGGCTGCTGGGGCAGCCGCAGCTGGGCCCCACTGCTGGGCCCCTGCTGGGCTCCTGCTGGGCTCCTCGGGCTCGGGCACTGCCTCGGCCTGCCTCCGTCTGCTTACGAGGCTAGCTTGTTACTTCATTACATAATATTACATTTATCACATCATATCACATCATATCATATCATATCATATCATATCATATTATACATTGTATTATAGTATAGTGTATATTAAATTATACATTATAGTACATGACATGACTTTATATTACATTGACAATGTAATATATGTAATGTCATTACAATGACATTACATTATGTTACATTACATTATATTACAATATCTTACATTGTATTCTATCATATTACATTATAGTATATATTAAATTATGCATTATATTATAGTATAGTATAGTCTATATTGAATTGTAATATTATGTCATATTATATTATATTATACATTATATTATACATTATGTTATTTTATGCATGATATCATATGATATTATACATTATATTATAGTATAGTATAGTCTATATTGAATTGTATATTATAGTATAGTAAAGTGCATAATAAATTATATATTATATATTATAATATATATAGTATATATTATAATATATATATTATATATTATCTTATATTATATTATATTATACTATATTATACATTATATTATACATTATGTTATTTTATGCATGATATCATATGATATTATACATTATATTATAGTATAGTATAGTCTATATTGAATTGTAATATTATGTCATATTATATTCTATTACGCTATAGTATATATTAAGTTATACATTACAGTGTAGTACAGTGCGTATTAAATTATATATTATATATTATATATTATATATTATATATTATATATTATAATGCTATTATATTAAATTATATATTATACATGATTATGATATATTACATTACAGTATATATTATATTACATAGTTTATAATGTAATATATATAGTATATAGTATTTATATACACTATAGTATAATATATTATATTATACCATATTATAGTATATACTCTACATATATATCTATTTATATAGTATATAGTATAATGTGGGGTAATAGAATATATTATACTATAGTGTATATTATAGTTTATATTTTATTGTATTTCATTTTATTTTATTTTATTTTATTTTTAAAATGGTAAAGTAAACTGTACTACAGATAGAGAAAGGATACCGAGAGAAGGGTGGAAAGAATGATCATAAAAACTCGTGACTCTCTTGCAGAGTCCCGACACAGCTGGCTGTGATTGGTCATTAAGTAAAAACAATTCACATGAGACCAATCACACAATGACCAGTTGGTAAACAACCTCCAGACCACATTCCAAAGCAGCAAAAATGGGAGAAGCAATCAGATAATTATTGTTTTCATTTTCCTCTGAGCCTTCCCAGCTTCCCAGGAGAAGGAATCCTGGTGAGGGGTTTTCCAGGAAATGTCACGGTGACAAACTGCCTCTTGCTGCTCTTTCTGCAGGGGCTACACGGGCAAGAAGCTGCAGGACAACATCCAGTGTGAAATCTTTCAGACTCTGTATGAGGAGGCTGTGCTGTCCTATAAAAAGGAAATTGTGCACCAGCTACCCAGCAACACTCCAGAGGACCTGGAGAGAAATTTGGATCAGATTATGCAATGGATTGAGCAATGGATGAGGGACAACAACTGACTTGTGGTGAAACAGTAACTGCTGGGTCTCTTCTTGGGAGGGAGGGTTTAATAAATTATATTCGTAGTTCCTGTATTGTAAATGAACGTGAATTTTGTTGTAACTGCCTGGAAGTAGAAGAAGGTTGATAGGATTTGTACCAGCACCCTGAGGGGCTGCAGGAGAGCTGATGCAATGGCTGAAAGGATGAAAATGAGGCGGCTGTCCTGAGAAGCAGAGCTGTGCTCAGTAACTGAGAATTCTTTAGACTTCACAATTGAAGCCAAACCATGAATTCCCTGTGAGAAAACGGTAAAATCCTGACAACAAGTGACAGTTGAGGCACGTTTGATTTCCAGAGTGTGGAGCAGTGTCCTGGAAAGGAGTTGGTTTGATGCTGAGTTGTGAGACTAAAAGCTGCTGTGCTCCACTGTGGGGTGGGCGTGGGGGGACAATGCAGAGTGAGAGGGTTTGGTGCAGGGTAAGGGGGGTCCTTAGCTTGGGAGGGAAAATAAATTATGTGAGAGTTACTTTAGAATGATTGCACGGAGCTTTGGGGATTCCTTCGTGTGTAAGGAGACATCACTGTGTGAGCACCGGTGTGGGGTGTTGAACAATAAACTTCATTTTTCCTTTTTCCCAGTCATGGGAAGAGGCCGTGTGAGGACAGACCCGCAGGGATCCCCGGTGGTCTCGGGTGCAGCAGGAGCTGCTCTGGCTGCTGTTAGAGCCTGGGCCCCAGGGGGGCAGGGCTGCACAGGGAACAGGAAACCTGTCCTCAGAGAAAAGCTGCCTGCAAGGAAAGCCTTGTGAAACATCCTGTAGGAAGTGCTTGCTTACAAACCCTTTGTGTACACGAGTTTGGGTAGTAAAACAACTTTCCTGAAAAATTCTGTTGTGAAGAGAGTTGTTGTTGCATATTTACAGCTTTATTTTTTTATTCCAAACTCGCTGTGGGGTTTTTTGGGGGTTTTTTTTGTGACACTTGGGGAGCGATACTGCAACAGAGTGGTATCATCATGTGATGATATTATAAGCCAAAATGATGATAAATAGTGTGTTTCCTTGGGGAATTGGGCCCAGGCACTGTGGCAGCTGGGGCAGAGGGTGGCCGGTGTTATAAATGAGAAGCTTGACTAGGCCAGTATTCAAGCAGCAATCAATTTATTAATCAATATGGTAAAGTATGAGCAATACTGGCTGGGTACAGCGGGGGAAATTTTCCCTCCAGCTGCACACCCATAGTTGGGGCTCACAGATATTTATAGGGGTGCTCATGAGCTTTCTCAGCAGTTTCCATTCCCAATTTCTACATCACAATTCTGTACACTACTGAGATTTAGTTTGTCTCAGGATGTGTCCCAGAAAGGAGTATCCCAGATCAGGGGGTCCAGCTGCCAAAGGAGAAAGAAATTTCCCAGCTGGTGAGGTGCAGATTCCAGATGTGCGCTCGGAGACCCTGACAGGAAGCCAAAGACACCTGGAAATTCGATCTTAACTCATGGAGCAAATTGCCAACCTGATACGAAGAATTACAGGCCACAAAAATTTAAGTAGCATAGTAGTAGCAATCACAAGGTGAAGGGAAAAATTTTGGAGCACTGTACAGGGGGGTTTTGTATGTTGTACAGGGGGGTTTGGAATCCTGTACATGGGGGTCAGGAGTTCTAAGATGGAGGAATTTGGGCGTGCCCTGTCCTTCTTCTTTCTTCCCCCTGCCATCCATGTTCAGGATGATGTTGGCATGTGTGCATTGGTTCATAGAGAAAGTGCACTTGCCAACAAGGGCAGAAAGTATTGGAAATAGAAGGTAAATATCTTATACGTAGTTTTCACTATAACAGAGACCCCGTGGGCGGCAGAGAGTGCCCTTGGCTGTCCTGCTGATCAGACCTCGGCTGGACAGACAGAAAAACTTTGTAGATAAGGAACAGTAAACTCAACTGAAGACCAAAAGCAAGAGTCCAGACTCCTTCAAAGCTTGGCCTGCCCAGAACCACCTTTTCCCTGCTGGGGCAGAGACGAGTGACAGCCGACCCCGGCAGGTTTGCACACCTGTCCCAGTCACAGATGCACAGGTGCCTTATGCACCTGACACCGAACACAGCTCGGTATTGCACGCCGGGAGGAGGGGGCAGGTGTGGGGATCGCGTGCGGGGCCCGCGGCTGCCGTGTCCTGTGCCCAAGCGCGGTTGGTGAGGCGCAGAAAGGAGCAAACCCCTCCCTGGGCAGCCCGGGAGCCGCGCCGGAGCCGCCCCGGGGCGGGACCGCTCCGCGGGCTGCGGGCACGCAGGTGGGTCCCCGAGCTCCGGGTGTCCCCCAGGCTGCTGTCCCCCAGGCTGCTGTCCCCCAGGGGGTGTCCCCCGGGTGCCCCCCGGGCCGGGGTCCCGCCGCGGCGGTTCGGCAGCCCCCGCTCCCGCAGCTTTCCCCCTCGGGGCTCGTCCTGTGCTGCGAGCACCGCGCTTTCCTGTTTTTCCAGATGAAATCTGGCCTGGCGGGAGGCGCTGTTCGCCGGTAGGTGAGGGGCCCTCGGTCAGGAAGACAAGCCCAAGCCAACAGAAAACCCGAAGAAAAGCCAGGAGGAGAAGATGGAGGAAGCAGAAGAGGATGACATGACATGTGGAGACTTGGGAAACGGACTGGGGAGAAGACCAGGAGGTGTTTATGAAGGGGGAAACTTACAAAGTTCCCATTCAGTTAGATCTAGGAAGGGCTCTGGAAGGACTTGTAATTCCCCCTTGTCGGCAAAGGGAGCAGAACAAAGCGATGCTGCGGCTCTTCCTGCTCCAAAACGAAACGGCTTTCACGATGGATCCCTCAAAAAACCTGCCTCCAGTTCCACACGGCAGAGTAGCTGTGGTAAGAGTAATTGGGAAGTTAATTATTCACCACAGGAAAAGCTTTTCTTAGTGGGAGTGAGCCGGTCAGCTGCCTCACAAAGTGTCATGAAGTTTAATTCAAACCTCTTGCCAAATTCCCTGAAGGGCTCCGTGCCCCCTGGGATCCTCCAGCTTCCTCCCAGACCATGAGCAGCAGAATTCCTTCTCAGTGGCGAAGGCAGTGCCCATTCTTAGTGTGAAATGCCCAGTTTTGAAGTGTTTAGTTCTGCGTTTCACAGCAACATTTGTCAGGGAGCAGCCTGTGCTGGGTGTACCTGTGGGTTTGGCTGTGTCTGTGAGGTTGAGTGGCACTGCTTGGATTCCTGCTTTAAGTAATTAACATCTTCATAAAGACAGTTCCTGAAGCTTAGAGCTGAATATTCAAAATCTTGCCTGCTCTTTAGCTGAAATGAGTGAATTGGCTTACGTTAGGGGTTAGGAAGTAGCTGTTAGAACCTGCATTGGCATTCATCTTCATTTTTTGTGAAGGTGATGCTGCTGTAAAAACAATCAAATGCAGGTAGGGCTGTTCATTACAGCCCAGCTGCCTTCCTGTCAATTTTTAATATTTCGACTGAGGTATTTCTGTGCAACTTACTTATTCTTCTCCTTTAAATATTTCCCTGTTATCCTTTCCACAGTAAGCTGAGCTATCTCTGTCTCCTGAAAATTGCCCTACTTCTAAATAGTGCTACCTGTTGTTGTGAGTGTGGATGGTGAAAAGTTGCAATCAGAAGAGAATGTAAACATTTTTTTTAATCCAAGATGGCAATTTTCTTGCCTTTATTTCAAAGGAAGTTATAAAATATTGCCTTTCTTTTGTCTCTTTACAACAGACATTTTCCCCCTACTTAACTTCTTAAATTGTGAAGCAATGTGTTTGAAGCTTCTATTGATGTGTTTCTTAAATGTGTTTATTAGCTCCACAAGAAAAACACAAAGATAAAAATGCACCTTTGTATGTTACCTGTTTTCAGAGTAAAATCCTCACTTTTTCTTTCATTAAATGTCGCACTACTTTATAATTTGTTGTCCTCTTTTGATCCTACAGAATCCAATACTGAAGTGTCAAATGAAGAACTGAAGCAACAGCTTCAGGAAGCTCTGGAGGTTGGTACCAGTGCCCAGGGTGCTGCTCTCCAAATCTGCATTTCCCTTCCCTGTATCAGGAGGATCTTGGCATGCTGGGAGACTTGGGTGCCCCCAGGTTCTTGGAATTACAGCAGGAGTTGGAAGCTTCATTAAATTTCATGTCAGAAAATCATAGTGTGAGGTGTACTTTATATTCTGGGGGGGTTTCTTTACAAAATATTTTTAAAGATGGAGAGAATATTGAAGGTCCTGTTGTACTTTTCCAGCAGATGCTTATGTTTTACTAATCTGTGGGGCTTGAAAATGTGTGGTGTAAGCAATCTTTGGATTTCCAGTCTGCATGTTTGTTGGAAGGTAGTTAACACCAGGTTTTGATTTCACTGTGGTTAAATGTATTGAGGTATTTGAGGTATTATATATTAAATGTATTTGGCATCACAGCCAGCTGTAAAAATACACCTTGCACCTGCACTGTGTTCTCTAACCTCAGGTGAGGCCATGGAAAGACATCACGCAGGTGAAACAGAGGTTTGTTTTTTGAGGAGGGCAAATGTACATTGTTTTACAGTCAAATCTTACCAGGATTTCCTTGGCTTTTACTCAGTGTATCTACTTTGTTTTACTTCAGGAACTTGAAGTTCTGAAAGTTGAGCTTGAGGCATCTCAAAGACAGCTGGAGGGAAAAGATGAAGCCCTAAGAATCCTGCAGAGCATGGTAGGAGCTGTTCAGAAATCTCTTGGTGGTAACAAGGAGAACAGAGGAAATCTTCTGCTATTCCTCATCAAAACCTCAAAAACCTTACAGCCTTCCCAGGGCTGCAATTTGCATCATTGAGTCTGCAGGTGTCTACAGACTTGCCTCTGCAATTTACTGGGACTAGTGTGTTATTTAGGAAGACTTTAGTGTTGTAGCAATTCTTATAATTTTACCTTTGACAATCCCTGAGGATTTATCTACTAAAGATAAAATTAAGGCCTTTTTCCAGTCCCTCATACTGAAGATGTAGGCAGTGCTTGGAATCCTGCTGCAGAGCATGGGCATTTCGAGGTGGCTGCTCCATCTGCTGCCCTAGAGGACAGTGTGCCTTAAATGTCAGGCCGTTCTTTTGTTCACCATTTGTAGTATTTTTATTCTCTTTCATAACAAAATCTGCTGGCAGCAGTTCCTGGAATTTAGCCCACTTACAAAACCCATTTCCAGTTGTGTGGTTTCTACCATCACATATTTGCAGCCTGCTAGGCCTGGATCAGAGCTGAGGTGTGCTGTAAGGTGTGATTTCCTGAAGGAGACACGACCTCAGGGTGAACAATGCTGCACTGTCAGCCCAGGGGTTCTGGGATTGAAACCCAAAAAGTTTATTTTGCAAGTTAGAGTTGAGATCAGACCCCTCTGGGGCTCACGAGGAGGCTGCTGGTGTTTGTAACTCTGCTCTCTGCTGTCTGATGTGAATGTGAAGCTGAAAATTAACTCAGTTCAGTCACAGCACTGGACAGAGTTGCATTTTGGGTTTTGCTTTGGTTGTTTGTTAATTTTGCAGGCAGTATTTGATAAAGCCACGAGCCACACAAAGGCAATGCTTCAGAAAAGTGAGGAAGAAAAGAGGACTCTAGAGAAGGTAAGTGTGGGTGTTTCCTTCACACAGAGAAGCCCGTGGCTATTAGAAAGGGGTTATCAGACTGCTTATTTACATCAGTGCATACCTGACATTAATTCCAGGGGTTTTGTAAAAGGAATTCCTGCTCCTCTTTAGTAGAAAGGGAAATACTAATTTATCTCTTTTGATCTAGGCGTTTTCATGCTACAGCGATAATATTGGAAGACTTCCAGTGCTCCTGCTGTGCTTTGAGCTGGTGTTGGTTGTGGGTTTCAGTTGCTCAGAGTGGGCTGCACAGCTCCTCAGGGATCCAGCTGAGGCCTCCCAGGGACCCTGAGGAGTGGGTGCCCCGTTTCAGGAGGGAAGGAGGAGGAAGGTGCTGCAGAACTCCCTTGTTAAACCGAGTTTTTTCTTTGTTCCCCCTGCTGCTGCTCTGTTCCACGCCATGGGAGTGGGACAGGGAGGTGGGTTTCTCTTTGTTGGAGGCCTCTGGAAGCAGCAGTTCTGAACAGAGGCTGGAGTCCCTAGGCCAGTGGTGCAGAAATTTCAGTGTCTGGTACCAAATTTGTTATTAGGAGTGTCACAGATTGTCACTGAGATCTCTGCCAGACCCAGCACCCCTGGCATCCTTCTGAGGGGAGCCCTGTGATGAGCTGCTGCAAGTTTGTTTTGTTTCCACAGGAAATAAATATTTTGCAGTGGGAAATTGAATTTGATCAGGACAGATTTAAAAACCTAGAGGACACCTGGACAGAAAAATATGACAGGTATTTGGCTTACACTGAGTGTCACTGGGGTCTTTGTTTGATTTTAAAAATGTCACTGAGTGCTCCATGTCATCTGTTCTGTGTTCCAAACTTGCTTCCCCAGGTTCTTTGGGCGTTTTGTATTTTCCCAATCCCCTTCCAAATTCTGGGCAATTTTGATTTTTCACACTAATCACACTTTTATGTTTCAATTCAGACTTCTAGATGTTGTCCTGATTTTGGGGTTTTTTTGGTGTCTGTAGGCTGGCTTTGCTAGGCTGAGTTTTTTTTCATCATATAATGTTGGCTGGGGACTGATTATCCTTGTTTACCTTACCCGCAGATGAGGCAGAGTAAATAATGGTGTATGCATGCGTGGGGAAATATAATTTCCTGGTTAATAATTTCTTTGTTGTCTGGCACTGTAGGTCTGGGCATGAGTACAGGTAAAATGCTCCACAGAGAGGCTGATCAAGAGGTTCTTTGTTAAATAGGAGTCACTCTGGGTGGACAGCAGGTGTGGCTGGGCAAGAAGAATGTGCCAGAGGCACTAAACTAATTATCCATAACAGGGCTTGAGAAGTGGGACTGCCAGACTCGCTCGTTTACGTGTGGAAATTGTATCTCTGAAGTCTACCCATCAGGGTTGTTATTGTCATTATTCGTTGTTATTATTATTATTATTGTTGTTGTTCTTACAATTCCGAATGTGCTTGTATTTTAATATGTTTCAGCTTGGGATCAAACACTAATCCACACATTTTCCAACGATTCCAGAGACACATTTGTCAGGGGATGCCTCTTGGAAGGCTGGCTGAGTGGGTTGGGAAGGTGGCTGTGCAGTTTGGAGCCACAGAACTGGTGGAAGACACAGATGTAACCTCAGAAAACTGACAGCCAGGGGCTCAGCCTGCTCTGCACAAAATCTCACGTTTTTCTGATGGTTTTCTGACATCTGAGGACAAGAAGAATGTGCATTTCCCTCTGTTTTTTTCCCATGTGAGATAGTTCAGAGTGGGCTGCATTTACTGACAGCTGAGGTGCACCAAATAAATAGTGTTGCCCTGACATTTAGGACGTTGGATTGCCACTGTTCTGTTCAGGAGAGGGATGCTTCAGGGGAAAATGCATTATCAGTGTGTGTTGTGTGTTCTCACGTTGCAGCACCTGAAGGCACAGCTGTTCCTGAAAACAGGATTCAGAGCACAGGAAGTTTACAGAGCAGAGCTGTCGCTCCTCTAATGCCACTTTCGTTCCTTCAAGGAAATAGGAAATTTCTAGCAAGTGTTTCAGAGGTTCATAATTACCAATTTCTTTGCATTTCTAATGGAAATGTGGCACATAAACTCATCTCTTGTTAAGGCTATGGGCACTGCCTACTTACACATGAAGGTTTGGGGGTTTTTGTAATTTATATCTCGTACTCCTTTCACTTTTGATTTTTTTTCATTTCATCTTTCAAGTAATCCTAATTTTAATTTGCAGAAATATTAGATGTTACGTTTTAACAGGTTACTTTTTAAAATTACTGAGTGCCCACTTAAAAACATTTTTTAAAAATATAATAAAGCCATTTTCTGCCTTCTGCAGGATATACTGTGAAAATGCAGCTCTTAAGGAAGCATTGAAACTGAGGACAGAAGAAGTTAAAACACTTAAAGCCGAAAATGCAAGTAAGCCAGCAGCAGCTATTCCTCTGAATACACTGTTTTTCAGGAATAAATCAGGTTTCAGCTGTGAGGGAAGATTCCTGTGGGGATCAGTGTCTTGCTCCTGGCAGCTGATCTTAGTGGATGTGCAGAAGCCTGGAAATTAAACTGGAAAGCAGCCAAGGCAGCCACTGGATCAGAGCACTCCAGTCCCTTTCCTTTATTTTTGCTTCCCAGAAAGCTTGGAAATAGCTGACTGAAATCATCACTTGCCCAGTGCTGTGCTAAATGAGAGGCTGCCTGACTTGTGAGTGTACAAGGAGACCAGCACTCAGTCCTGAGGCAGAGCAATTCAGGAAATGGTCTCTCTCTAAGTGGGCCATTACTTCTGGCAGAACACAGAGGGAGGGAGAGACAACTGAGAGATGAGTTCCTGCTTCCACACGCTCATCTTGTTCCCAAACTGATGCTTGAACTGCACAACTGCTTCATTCGGGTGCAGTTGAACTCGGAAATTAAGAAATCAGAGCGGGAGATGTTTGTAATCTCTTTGTTTTATTTTGTAGTCCTGAACCAGCAGTGCTTGGAATTCCTTGCAATGCTAGATGTGAAACAACAGAAGGTTTTTCAGGAGAACATGTTGAACAAAAGTGACATCACTGATTTTACAGGTCTTGAGGTAAGTATTGCCTGTGTGTTTTTCCAAACGGCTGCTTCAGAGATATGTTTGTGTACCAAACACACAGAGGAAAATCATTGCTCATTACATATCCCTTCATGTGAACCCGTTTTTAGCTAATTAGCACATGCCTGTTAATCATTTCCTGCTTCCTGGTGCACCTTGCAGAGGAGGATCAGGCAGAAGAAGGCATGGGGCTGTTTTTCACATGCTGTGATGGGTGTTTTTATTCTGCCCAGCAATTACACCGTGCCTGCTGGTGCTGCAGCGAGCCCAGCAGTGGCACACCCATCTGCCAGGCTCTGCCTGAAGGCACAGCCCTCCTTGTGAGTCACTCCCTTCTCGTTCTGGGGGCTCTGCTGCCCCTCTGCGAGCGGGTCCTGACCTCTGGCTTGGTTGGATTTGCAGCTGGCGGTGCTCGGAGCCTGCGCCTGCAGCCCTGCTGAGGGGCAGCCCTGTCCCTGCGCCAGAGTGGCAGCTCTCACTCGGAAGCAGCTCCTGCATCTCAAGCAAGAGGTGAGCAGGCGTGGCAGGGCGGGCTCGAGCAGGGGGTGCTCCTGCAGCAGTGCAGACAGAGCCAGGAGCACCCAGACCCTGCCCACACAAACTCTCACTGCGCGTCTCAGAAGTACTGTGAAGTTAGTGATGCCTGTAATGCCGTAATTTCTGCTGGTAGGGAAAAAAATTGTAATTATATCTACTCAGCTTTACTAGTTTAAAAAATAAATTGCGGTTTTTTTCTTTCTCCCCGTATTTTTTAACCTGAAATAAGAGAACACACCCTGGGTGTGTGCTCTCCATGAATGTACACACTGTGTGTGTGGGCTGGCACTGAACCTTTCCCTTCCTTCCTGGCAGTGCATTTCACCCCTCCCTTGCTGGCATCAGCACCCACAGCCCGCTCACTCAGCTAGGGCAGCAGGCTGATCGTGCTGGAAAATACCTACTCACCTCACACTTAAATCCATGACGTGAATTCCAGGCTCCTAATTTTGGTCTGTTTGGTGAAATTGTGTGGATTTAGAGTTTTTTTATCTAATTTGTGGTTCACTGTGCAAATGTGGTGGCCATCCTTGTGGTCCTGCTGCAGAACTTCCAGTTGAGTGACTGGTTTGGAAATAGGTGCTGGTCTGTCCCTTATGATGATCCCTGATATGGGTTCCCATCTCCTGCTCCTTTTCCTCCTGGCCTGGATGTGATGGGTCATTATTTCCCTCCTCGAGCTCTTGTACATGTGCAGAGATGAATAAATACACAGAGATGATTGTGTGTATGGCTGGGGGTGTGAACATTTGCAGACAATGAAGAGTAAGGACTTTAATACACATTTTAAAATGTTTATTTACATATCAGGGAAACCCTTTGCTTCCTGCTACTTCCTTGATTACATTTACTTGCAAGCTGTCTGTGTCTTAATTTTAAACCTGCCTTTGCTTCCAAATTACCTGATCTGCCTCAAATTTTCCCTGCACTGAAACCAGATGGAAAACCTGAAGAAGGGCAAGGACGAAGCGTACATCACGGCAGATGCCTTCAGAATCGCGTTTGAGCAGCAGCTGATGCAGAGGCAGGAGCAGGCCCTGAGGCTGGCAGAAGTGATGGGCGTGAGGAAGGAAAGCAGATTCGGCAGCTGGAGCCGGCGGCGGGGCGCTGGTAGTGGGGCAGGCTGCTGTGGGGCTGGCTGCAGAGCTGGGGCTCCTCTCCCGTGCCAGCTGCACAGGGGGAGAGCTGGCGTCTGCCCGGGTCGTCTGCTACCACCAATTGTTCTGTTACTTGGGGTTTTTTTTGGTTTTTTAAAATTTTTTTTCAAATTAGTTCCACAGGAGAGCTGGGGAAGGGGAAGAAAGGCAAAAAGAAAAAGGATATTTGGAGCTTTTTTTAGCTCCCAATGGGGTATTGAGCGACGTGTGTGAAACAAGATGAGCTTCAAGGTCTCTCCTAACCCAGGCCACTCCATAATTCACTGCAGTACTAAACAGGTTTTTTTCCTGTTCTTCCTTAAACGCTTTTTTCCTTTTATTTCGCACGTGTGTCAGTATTAGTGTTCTTACACTAATACAGAGTTTCAAAGCCCTCTGTAAAAGAGGAAGAATTCCAATCTGTAAAATAGGAATAATTCCAGTAATGTTTCATTCTTTGAAAAAAAAACAAAACAAAAACAAAAAACCACAAAAAAAACCCCAAAACCCCCTAAAGAAACCAACAACAACAACAAAAAACCAAACCACAAAAAAAACCCAAAAAAAACCCAAAAAAAACCCAAAAAAAACCCAAAAAAAACCCAAAAAAAACCCAAAAAAAAAGGGGATAGAGAGAATTTAAGTGCTTGCATCATGGTCAGAACCACTGCAGACCTCAGGAACAGCACAATATATTTCTTTTGACCATTGACCAGGAGCTGCCAGGCTTAGAAGTGTGGTCACAGATTCCTTGGGCACTCCTGGGGTGTAGCACTGCAACAGCACAACCTTGAGCAGCTGTTTCCCCTGCACTGACCCCATTGCTTTCAGGCTCTGTTACCTGGCACAGCTGTTCCATAATTGTAATGCGTTTTACTATTTCTGGAAGTCTTACCAACTTGTAAGTGGCCTGTGTCAGAGAATCCTGGGGTTTTTTAGGCTATTTATGGTTTAAAAACAAATTCTAGTTTAATTCATTTTTTAGAGCATCAAAAGTGTATTTTCCATAGAGCGAAAAGAATTCTTAATTTTCCCACGTGTAAGCCTTTGTGGGAAAGCAGGAGCAGTGGGAACCTGCCATGTCCCATGCAGTGAGGGAAACTGCAGCTTGTATTGCCCTTGTTTAGGGGTCGTTAAATTAAATTATTCTTAATTATTAGATTATTTTTAATGGGATCCAGGTTTAGAAGTACCTGCTTTCTCTGGAAGTCGTTTTTCCCTTCCTGAGCAGCTCTGCAGCTGACACACTTGTGTTTTCCACAGAGCGTCTCAAGTTGGAGGGGAGCAAGAGCAGCCTGGGGCGGAAGCTGTCCAGCCTGCTCTCCTCAGAGGGCGACTGCAGGAGGGTGGAGGAGCTGGACAATGCCCACGAGATCCTGAGGATGTTGATTGAGCTGGTCAGTGCCTGGTTCACCTCCCCAGAGCGTGTGTGTTAGCTGGGCCGAGCACGGCCTGCTCTCCTGTGCATGGGGGGGATGGAGGAAAATGGAGATAGTGATGAATTTAATCTCACCCCTAAGGTTACAGCTGTGCTAATTATCAATAATTAGGAACAGGCCTGCTCTTAAAAGGCCACAGCCAGATCCAGTTAGGATGGGTATTGTAAAAAGTAGATTGGCTGGTCGAGGAGGAAGATGGACTTTGGTGGCTGTGCTGAGAAGGAGTCAGTGCTGTGGGAAACAGCAGTCACTTGATTTTGAAATTTTACAAAGTTTAATAGTAATAAAATGGTTATAAAAATAGTAATATAATTAGAGTAATAAAGTTTGAACAGTTGAGATTAGGACAATACGAGACAATAAAAACAAAGAGTCACAGACAGCCCGGGTACCTTTTCCTGGGCAGCACAAGCCCGAAAAAGGACCCCATTAACAGAGGAGTAACCCTTAAAAACAACAGCCTGTTGTATATTCATACACCTCATACATGATGCATAAATCCCATTCAAACTCAGGATTCTGCCTGGTCACTGTCAGCTTCTTCCTCTCAATCCTCATGTCTCTTCCAGTCAGAGCGAGGTGGGCAGAAGTTAGTTTTGTGCTGATAAGGGAGCAATAAATTCCCTTTCTCTGAAAGATTTAGGTGTCCTGTGGCTGCTATCTGGTGCGAGTCCTTTCTTAAACAAATATCTTGCACAGCATCGCTTCTATTTTAACATTGTGTTATAACCTAAAACTATATTTAATATACTACTTAAGAAAATTAATATAGCATATTACAATATTAATTTTATTACTGGCGAAAAGGCAATCGCAAGATACACATTTTTCACAGTGCTGTGAGGGGCTGCCCGTGAGGAATCACCAAGAAGGTGTGAAACATTTGCATTGAGACGGCAACGCTCTCCTTTCTCCCCGCAGGTGAACGACAAGGAGGAGGCCCTGGCGCACCAGCGCAAGGTCAGCTACATGCTGGCGCGGGCGGCGGAGGCTGCCCCGCGGCAGGACGGGGGGCACGCGGCAGCGAGGCGCCGGCTCGGAGTCCCGTGTCCCCCGGCCGCCCCTCACGGCGCCGGCCACGGC